TCCATACAATCGCTACATGCTATCGTCGACAGCTTTCGGTGATGCTGATTGATGTATCGGGGAGCCTTCCAGATTGCGTCGGTGACTGCTACGCTAGAACGATTGCAGTGAAAAAAAACTGTAGCGATAGTGTAGAGACTTAAAGGAGGCCAGGCCTAACAGGAGGGGTAGAATAGGGTCAAATGATAAGAAAGTTCCGCCACCACAGTTTAAGACACCCAGCGTCAGTGATGGGCAGGCTTGCCGTAGGCCTACAACCTCAGACCGCATGGACATTTGCTTCATACGAAACTCACATATCACACGAGCATGAGCTTTGCGAAGAAAACCATAGGTCTATTTGGTAGTGAAATCAAGGAGCGTTTAGAAGTAGAGTAAGCGAACATTTTGTATTATTATAGCATGTTGTGTATCCCGACCGTTGTTATAATGATTCCGACAAGTATAATGATAATTATGATGATGGCAGATGATGACCTTCTGGCAATGGTGATAATAAAGATGATAATAGTGATGGTAATGTTGTTGTTGTTGTTGTCGATGATAAGGATGATAAGGATGAGGATTATGATGATGATGAAGAAGTTAGTTTCCTATCATGTTTCAACGCTGCCACTTTGAAGCACACGGGCCCTAGAAATGCATAAACATTAAGCCAATATATATCCAATAATCTATAAGATGCATTACGTTATCCAATTATTTTCCGATTAGTTTACAAGTATAATTATATTCACGTGGTTTAACCAATAGGTTTCCACTAAGATCTTAAGGTGGATAAGGATTATCCGCATTATCCTGAATGTCATTTAAAGCGATCGTCTTTGGATTTTGTCCATTTCACATTCAAAAGCAAGATGTTCGGTACATACACAAAATACGGAGCATTTTTGGTGCTCTATAAAGTAAAGTCCGTCGCAATCCTGCGTTGACGAGATCCTATCGCGCGACCGATCGTTTTCAACGACGGTCCACTCAGACTGCCACTGACGGTAATATGGACTGACGTTACGTCGGGGAGTAGACTGACGTTGAGCCAGGAAGTAGAATGACGTCACGTCGTGAAGAAGCGCTCACGCAGAGCGCGGTCGAATTCCTAAAAACGGCAGGAGGCCGACGCATTGTGTGCCAAGCCTAAAGGCCAACTCAGACAGCGTCGTCGTAAGACGCAGCCAGACGCGATTTGTTGTCGCGTCGGGTCTGTGTGAGTTAAACGCAGACGCGATTGTGTGCGTCGGGGGCAGGCGTGTCGTAGAATATTAAACATGTTTAATATTTCTCACGACGGCTCAAGACTGTCCCCGACGATAAATCGGGTCGGGCTGCGTCGGCCGACGCTGTCTGAGTTGGCCTTTAGTCTCAATATCATAATAAGATGTTTTACAGAAGTTAAAGAGAAGACCTTGGGATAAGAAGGCGTGCATCCTTACTATTGATTTTTGTAACTCTTAGTTCCACTCCAAATTATGAATTTCCATGACCGACACACTTGAAGTTACCATGGAAACGCTATAATAGGCCTGCGTAATGTCATGTATAATCTTCAATAGTGCTCTCAGACACAAAAAAGATACGACATATTGACTTGATAATATTAGGAAAAGCCTATTATGAGCTCAAAAAATTTAACTAATCAAGAAAAGTGTGTTAGGAAGCATGTTAACGAGCATACTCAAATCTGTTATTAGCAGGACATTAAAAATCATTGGCACGAAGAACGCATCAATATTGACGTTTCCATTAAAATTCGGGCAAAGTTGAAGGCAAATCAATTACAATCTTTGAATTAAACCCTGAGCTTTGTCGAATGAATTTTGAACATTTCAGTCGCTATCTTCTGTTAACAAAATGTGACAAGGTGCAACGGTCATCCGAATTCATATTCAAACTTTCAGCAAATAAAAGCATTACCGCGTGATTAGGTGCGTTTGCGATCGCTAATTCATTTCGCGTTGTACTCTAAAGCTTTTTGTTTTGGCGGTCAGCAAGATGTCAGAAATCAAATAAGTTTTGCGATTCATTAAGGAACGACACTAATCATGTCTATATGACCACAACGGTTCGGCTCGGTACTGACGAAATCCGTGAAAACACTAATAATGGTGACCGGATAATATATATAATGTACTGGTTTCTCTTAACTCTGAATTCTAATCGTCGTTTTTCTTTCAAAATACATCGTTTAAAGCCATAATGAGCAGGAAGCCATAGCGAACTGTGTGATAGAATCGTGATTAATTGTGCGCGAGCGACTTCGGTTCTTTGACGGCAAAATTTTTTTCATTTGACGGAATTTCTTATAATGCAATAGTAAGCAGAGTATATATGAATTTGTTTACGTTCGAAGAATTGATCATTAACCTCATGACGGTTTGGTTTACGGCTTAATTATGGTCCCTTTTTGTACGTGACTTATTGTACATTTCTCTTTACAACCTTATAGTAATTCTTGTTCGGAGCACGTTTAAGACATTTAAAGAATCAGTTGTTAGACGAATCTGTTAATTCATTACGATCTCAGGTGAAACAGAAAGTATAGAATCCCTACTTCTTTCAAATATCTCTTTGACCGAATTTATTTCTATAGTTAACCACTTTCATTATTTTATAGGTAGTGTGCAGGAATTAAGAATAAAATGCAAATAGCGCCCCCTATAGATACATAACTTTTTACCAAAGATCTTATCTTTTTACTGAATAGGGCACGTTTAGTTAAATTTCCTAAGAAGTGAAAGAAAAGGCTCAAACCATGTGTATTATATATTGTTCTGTAAAGCATGGGCCACTTCATTATTCTTCTTAATCGGTAACAAAAGCAATTTAATGTTATCAGTTTCTCTAAAACAAAAATGAGGGTAGGCTAACCTCAGATGCCCAAAATTCAAATGCTTATCGCTGGCGTAGATCGTTTTTATCTTTCCAGTTTTCGTACATAAATTAAAAATGTTGAACGGTACATATCACGCATGTAAAATAGTGGCAGCGCACTTTTACCATCAACTTTTCTGCTTTATTGAATTTAATATTTATTGAATTGTGACGTATCATATTTGTTATTTAACCCTGGTATAAGTTTGAACAGGACCATATGAAAAACAGGCTTTTTAACAACCACCTGATATGTTTCAATCCTGTATAAATGTTTGAAATTAAAAATAGATTGTGTTATTCAAGTTGACTATCTACTATTTATTTGTGTTAATTTTAATTTATAATATCGAACCGTAAAACCTTTTACCCTGACTACTTAGATTTCTATTGAAGATCATTTCCAGTTGTTATTTCAATATGGCCATGACGTCACCAGTCAAATGACGTAGGCTGCAAATTTTGGTCGTACCACAGACTGGTGCTCTTGTAATTGTCGATAATTCGTTACCAAAACTGTCGTCATCATTTTGTTTCGTTTTCCTTCCTCCTTATTTTATTTATGTGCCTTTTGATTCGAAGATATCAATTCATCTTCTCTATTTAACTTGTACATTGTTACTTTAAGTGACGAGACCCCAAACATGAATTTCTGCTTCACATGATTGTGACGTGAACTAGTTCCAGTACATACATGCAAATGAGGCTGAAAGGAATTGATTTCAAATTCAATCGAAACTAACAAAGCCCTAGGTGCCGGCATAGAAGAGTCTGCATAAGAATTACGTGTTTCATTTCTGGTTGGAGAAAATTTAATGTTTCTACTTTCGTAGCAATTTCATCCTACCGTTTACTTATTTATTATTATTTTCAGCATCACCACAGGGCAATTTCAGTTTTATCTACAGTAGATAATGTATGCGGTATATATCATGAATATATATATGTATATTATATATATATATATATATATATATATATATATATATATAGGCCTATATATATTCAAATCAATTATTATTAGACATTATTATTTATTTGATATAGGCCTACATTATGTGATATATTAGTGTTAAATAAAATTGTAGCAAATTACATATCATTTACATACCGTTTGTTATCCTTTGCGTATAGGCATATGAAGCCTCATTTATGCTTTATTCTGATTGGATTAATTGTTTTATACATTGAGCTCGCGTTGGTCATTTGATAAATAGTCAACATTAAATGGAAATCGAGGTGTTTAAGGTAAAATAACATGTTTAGTATGTTTAAAAACAATTGATGTAATAGTCGTTTTTCTTTCTTCCCCATACCAATGTTTAGGTGGGCGTGGTTTAACGAAGAATGACCAGTCGAATACGGCCATTGTGTACATACAAAATGAGTACAGTCGCACATCTTACAATTCTATACTCTTTGAGTAAACTGCATATATGAGAGGGAAATCTCCTGTGATCACGAGAATCCAATTTCATAAAACAATATAACTGTTTACGGAAAGACAGACAATAGGACTGATCACTTGACCTGGGATTGTGAAAACAATCATAAAATTTAAAGTAAATAAAATCACAAAGGAAAAATTTAAAGGAGGGATCGGTTTGATATACTGCGAAAAATTATATAGGCAATGTTCCAATTGTTGCATTTTTTATATTATGTTCGAGTATTATTATTATAATTTGTGTTCTATATCGAGAAATAATTTGCTAATTCAAAGACAGTTATTACTTTCTTGTCGTCAATCTTTAGCAAAACATATAAACGCGACATTTTAACCATGTCAAATGAATGTATGATTGATCGTTGCATTCAAACGTCAGAGTCACGGGACGCACCCTGTGGCAATATGGCTGCTTAATTAGTGTTTGTATTAATACAGAGAGTACTGTAGCTTCGATACAATTATTGTTATCTTTATTATTAAGATACTATAATGGTAATCAATATGATGTTAATTGTAATAATTAAACAGAGGTAATGACAATTATTAACTGATAATAAGCTATTGCGTTGTAGAGCTATACTCAACTAATCGAGTTTGTTTCTTTTACTATAGGCATATTATCATATAATATTTATCACCATCATTTATGTAAATTGTTATTTTGTTACCATTACCTCTCTGATTTGTTTTTTCAGGAATAATTGCCATCTTAAATCATGAATTCTTCATGGATAGCAAGTATTTTATTACCTTGCCTACTAATTTGTATCGTCCAATCCGCCTCAATCAATAGGTAGGTAAAACAATCCGCCAGAGTATAATAGCATAATATAATAAATACAGTATGATATGAGATATGAGATATATGATATATGATATGATATTATAGGCCTATATGATATGATATATGATATGATGTATTATATGATGTATAATATATGATATGATACGATGTATGATATAGTATGATATGATATATATTTTGTGATATAGTATATGATATATGATATGATATGGTATGATGTAATGTTAACAATATAATGTAATGTGTGCAATGTTCAAAAATATTCCAATACATGCATTGTAATGTAACATAATATAAAAATATATAAAGTATTATTCAATTGTTGGTTTAATAGAATAATGGATATTTTCATTTCAGATCAGCATACTAAATTATTCGGTTAAAAAATAATGCAAAACAAAATTATGTCATTCCAAATGGGCTGAGCGAAGCAATTTTTTTTTAAACAAATTATTAAAGATTAAATTAAAGAAAATTAATGTTGATTTAATAGAATAATGGATATTTTCAGTTCCGATCAGCATACTAAATTATTCGGTTAAAAAAATAATGCAAATCAAAATTATGTCATTTCAAATGGGCTGAGCGAAGCAATATTTTTTAACAAATTATTAAAAATTAAATTAAAGAAAATTAATGTTGGTTTAATAGAATAATGGATATTTTCAGTTCAGATCAGCATACTAAATTATGTCATGTTTGGTTGAAGTTAATGTTGACAATGACCTACAACTGTTTTCTGATCTAAAACCTACTACTAAAACTTTATGTTATATACTTTATAATCGGTCAGGAGCAATGCCGTAGCCAGGATTTTCAAACAGTGCGGGACAATATCATGGTGGACCCACTTTAGGCGTAAATACAATGTGGACCCATTTTCTTAAAAGTTGACTCATTTTACGCATGAAAAATGTGGACCCATTTATTTAAAATTTTACCTATTTTAAGCTAAATATGAGAAATCTGGACGCATTTTCAAAAGTGGACTCATTTTATGCATAAAACTGCATAATTTGGACCCATTTTTTAAAATGTTGACCCATTCTTTGTGGACCCATTAAAAAAATTGTATGCGACTGTCCCTACTGTCCCAATAGCTGGCTACGGCATTGGTCGGGAGCATTGTATTCTGGCAAATAGTGTCTGTATTACTGTGGGTGGGGGATATGAATGCGTTACTGGTATATCTGGCTTCGTAAGAACATTGCTATTTACAAAAAAGAGAACGTTTAGAAAAAGATGATGTAAATTCTACTAGGCCTATTTCTAAAAAACTTCTAAAAAAATCCTATTTATCTCAGTAACCTAAAATAGGCTTGTTGGTCAGCCCTGCTGGTCATAGGTTGCTGCCGAATAATTACAGTACCTTTGAAATAACATCGTTATTCATTAAGTTGCAATCACTTTTCACTGTTTTTTATTTTAGTTCTCATCCTGACCTTGATGGATATGATATTATGTGATATATGATGTATGATATATGATATATGATATATGATATATGATATGATATAATGTTAACAATATAATGTAATGTGTACAGTATTAAAAAATGTTTCACTATATATGTATTGTAATGTAATATAATATATAAAGTCTTATTCAATTGTTATACTTCAGTTTACCTCTGTCAAGGATGATATCTGATATGATATGATATATATGATGTATTATATATGATATGATATGATGTATGATATATGATATATGGCCCCGGTATTCAACCCCCGGCCCACGGGCCAACTCCGGCTCACCAGAAAATTTGATCCGGCCGGCGCAGCATTACTAAAAATAAATTTTCCACCCATTTTTTGAAAAAGTTTTTCTGTTTATAGAAACACCATCTTGATCTAGCATTGTTAACAAGAGTCTGGACTTTTCTGACTCACTGTATTTAGTGGCGTAGAGTATTGACATATAGGGAGGGGGAATTGATGGGGATAATGGATTAAGTAGGGGAGGGGCTCTGATATGATGCGATGTCTAACAATTTGGCAATCATGGTTGGGCTGAGGTAAATGCGGGCACACTCCTCGTCGATTGTCGGAAACGGCATTCTCAGACTTAAGAAATTATATTCAAACACCATCTCGATCTAGCATTCTTAACAAGAGTCTGACTTTTTCTGACTCACTGTATCTAATAGCGTAGATTATTGACATAGGGAGGGGGCCGATGGGGATAATGGATTAAGTAGGGGAGGGGGCTCTGATGTGATGTAAATGCGGGTCATTTTAGGGTATCACACTCCTCGTCGGGAATTTCTAGCGCTGGCATTTTTTTTTTTTTTACTTTTTAGTACATGATTTTTTTTTTTGTGCTAGGGGTAGGGGTAGGAAAACCTGGAGTGCAAGCTTTTTATTTTCAAAATTATAAAATAAAATGGAGATAAGAAAAGAAAATTATATTCAAAATTGAAGTCTGAGAATGCCATTTCTGACAATCGAGAGGTGCCATAATCTTAAATTGTCTTACCTTAGCCCCAACCAAGTTATTGGTATTTTCCCCATATCTGTGAAACCCCCTTCTATTTCAAATCCAATGCTACAAAATAGAATGGGTGGGGCTGAAATTGAAAAACGTGTAAGGTACATAATATATGTCGGCCCGTCGCTGGTCTCAAACGATTGGAACTGGCCACCAGCTTAAAAAGGTTGAATACCGATGATATGGTATCAATTGATGAAATGTTAATAATATAATGTTATGTGTACAGTATTCAAAAATGTTTCAATATATATGTATTGTCATGTAAGATAATATATAAAGTCTTATTCAATTGTTGACTGTATACTTCTGTTTACCTCTGTCAATGATAATATCTGATATGATATATGACATGATATGATATGATGTACGGTATGATATAAGACATGATACGATATATGATATGATATATGATATGATATGATGTAATGTTAACAATATTTAATTTAATGTGTACAGTGTTCAAAAATGTTTCAATACATGTGTATTGCAATTTAACATAATATAATAATATGTAAAGACTTATTCAATTGTTGACTGTATACTTCTGTTTACCTCTGTCAAGGGAGCGAAGAGGCGTGATTTCGTCAGATTTTCTACGGGAGCTTGCTGATAGAATTGACTTTTATAATGAGTGGCTACAACTAAATGAATTCGACAACAACAATAAGCAAGTTCAGTAAGTATGACGTTAATTTAAAAATCTATCTTATCTAAAGCTCGTTCCACGCTACCCATTTTTTTCTTTGACAAAAAAAAACTGTTGTATACCCATATATAGTCATGTTGTACCTATATTAGGGTCAACATGACCATATTTAGACATGCCACATGTTTTTGTTAAATAAAATTTGATGGACTGGACAGTGCTGAAATATGATGAACTGGATTTATTGCATTCTTCATCGGCCATACAGTCAGTCCATTTCGTACAAACCAACCTTGTCAATTTGGACCCTTAACCAACTGGTTTATTCATTTTATTTCATTTTTTGTCTTAGCATGGAGGAATTAAAATAAATTATATGGTCTCAGTAAAATACATAAAAACAGGACCAAATCAGTATCAAGTAGGTCTCCTAGTGCACTATTCCTATTACACTTAGGTAATAAAAAATGCACAATTAAAATAAAACTTAAAATCTCTAACATTAAAATATGGATAAAAACTTGCCTTATTTTTCTGTGTAATTTCATATGGAAATACCAGATGACCAGATTTCTAACTCATTATTTATTCATGCTACAGTATCTTATCTGCTGGTTTAGAAAACAGCTTAGCCCAGTCAACTAAACACTGTGTGGGCACTGAACCGTTGACATCCATCCCTTGGTCCCTGTTCAATTCAAATCACTGTTGTTGGTCCTGGTATTTCAGCTGGAGGGGCTAATATGCAAGTTACAATAGCGCATCGTCTTTCGGATGAGACGTTGAAGCCATTGGTCCCGTGTGCATTATGGCCCGTGTGCATGTTAAAGAGTGCAGTACACTATTCAGAAAGAGTAGGGGATTGTTTCCCGTCGTGTACTTAGCCCAATCACCAGAAATAAGTCGTCTTCAGACTTTCGATGGTTATCCTTGGTGTTAACCTTTTTTAGACCTAATGCCCAATCACCTCACTTGAAATAAAACTAAAACTAAAAAAAATAATTATAAATTTTGATAGCTTTTTTAAATTGTATCAATAAATAATTGTAAAAAATATCTTTTTGATTTAAAATCATGAATCAATATATAGAAATTTTGTTGTTTTAATTAATATTATAAATATAATGTATTTGCATTGAAAATCATTGTTGTAAATTAATTTATATCTATTGTAACGTGTTCTTAGGTAAATTAAATTAAAATTTTAAGTAATCTATATCATTGTTGTATTACTCTGTGCCAAAAAACCCATATTAAGGCGACAATTTTACATTTGCTCTTAGTGGTATATAATAATTGAGTTTACAGAAAATGTGCATTTGATGGAATAAGCCAATTCGTGGTTAGAACTGCGCATGTTCGTATGAAGATCAGTCGACATAAACAACACTATACACGCAACATGTCAATTGACCTTGGATACGAGCATGCGCAGTTCTAACTACAAATTGGCTTATTATTAAAGGGGCGCTGTTTTTTGTCCTTATTAAGGGTTCTATAGTTTGATTACTTTACATTGGCAAATGTTTAAGCCAATTTCTTGTTTTTTTACTCTCCACTCGTTTAACAACTTCTTACAATTAACGTCCAGCTAAAATTGTAGCAGTGGCAATGTAAATATTATGCACATACCGGTACTCATTTTTCTCACAATTATCCTACTTAACGCTAGAACATAATCAATACAATGTAGAACATTATCAGTCAACCCTTTTTGCAATTGAAAAATAGTCGATCGATTAAAAGTGTGTTTCAGTGAAGAAAATTTTATATGACGATGATCAAATTGAAGGCTAGTTAATATCTAATACCTAGTACAGTAGTAAGCCAAGTTTCTCTTCATCATTTTTTTTCATCTTCTTAAATTATAGAGAAAAACGTGGGGACTGTGACTCATTTGGAGGATGTGCCCAGCTTACGGCTAGCCAACAATTAGCATACAGAACACGACACAGGGATTTAAGTAATTTGTTTGGCACAGGCGGACCAGGCAGAAAGAGACGCTCAACGCAGCCCAGTGACGCCCAAAATTGAACCATTCAAAGTGTATATCTGAACAGACTTTTAATGATGCATCTGATTTTAACATGTTGGGGATGATGGAACGCCAGCGACGTGGCAAATGACGGCTTACGCCGGATAAAAAATACCGTTACTTCTTCAGAGTGTTCATCAGGACATGACTAGGACTACTTTTATAACATCAATCATTTTAAAATGTGGATTAAAAGCAACTGTTTTTTTTCTTTCTTTTGTTAATGAATAAGCAATCATTTGCCTTTTTAACGCGAAATCCTGAGGATTTCAAGCGAGAAAGTGTGATAGCTAACACCGGCAAATAATGGTGGCGCTACCACTGTACTCGAATACAACAAACTTAGTTATTATATAATAATTTAAAAAAAAACTTCAAGTTTTGAAGTGGGACTTTTGGAAAACAGTACCGTATTATACAACAATGCTAAAAGATATATTTTGTCCAATGAAATGAAAACATACAAGTGTACTTTTAAATTGTAAAAACGATATATATTATAAAAATTAGGTGGTTTATTGTTTAATATTATAATATTTCATGTTGTAAGTTATGAATTTGTGGAATGTGTTAATAGAGTAGTGGTAATAAATTCGCAAGCTCAACTTTTCAATGTCTATTGATTGTGTCTTATTTTTACCGAAAATGTTCAACAGTGTAAGCCCTGTCCAGGCTATCAAATTATATTGACAAATAATGGTGACATGCCTAAATACGGTCATGATGACATCATATCATGACCATATTTAGGCACATCACGACTATATATGGGCATATCATGTGGGGTTTTTTGTCAAAGAAAATTTGATAATCTAAGCAGAGCTTAAACAATGAATGAGCACATATGTAAATTTTGATGAAACTTTTGATGAAACATCACTGATTCGGTATTCAATATAAATTTTAAAAGATTAGGATTTTCACAAAAAACAAAAAGAATGATAAAATAAATATAGGCCTAATTAGATAAGTAAAAGTAAACAATAACAATGGTGATGATGACAATACTTACCGGTACAAGTGACTGTTGTTTATTATCACAATTAATTATGACAATAATAGAATTCATTATAAAATTATCATTATATCCATTTATAATTATGACTTCATAGTATTTTCATAGTATTAGATATCCACTATATTATATGTATATAGGCCTATATATATATATATATATATATATATATATATATATATATAATATGTGGCATATACACAATTACATATACATATTAAATTATTGTTAAAAATGGCTGACAACAAATGAGTTAATTAATTGCATAAATATAATAATGATCCAGAATTGTACTACAGATATAAATCCTTAGTTGAGCAGAAGAAATCCTACCTATAAAATAAGATTAAAATCTGCTACAGTACACTCCATTTATATCATATTACCTACAGAGGTGGTATAATTATACTGCCAGATTTATTGATTTATTATATATTCGGCATAGATAAAAAAAAAATCGACAAATCCTTGAACAATATTATAAACAATTTTTGTAAAAAAAAATCATAAATTCATCTAAATTTTAAAAAATTGAAAAGAAAAGCTACAAATTACAATAAGGCAAAAGATAATAATTATTTTACCTGATTACAATCTGCAACTTTTGGTGAACAACTACAGATGTTGGTGTTAGGTTATCGAATACATTTTATGACGATAGCATGCCTAAAGTAATCAAGAATTTAATCAAAGTAATGATCAAATACAGAGTCTTATACATAAATTAATATTTATCACTACAATATTGTTAGGGTTGGAAAAGAATCATGATAATTTATTTTTGATGCAGTAATTCGGGTAAACGTCCGCCTAATTTGAAATTGCATCTCGGCCACCGTAGGACGAATTTAACCTCATAATGAGGTCAAATTTACATTTCAAAATATTTTACCTGATTACAATCTGCAACTTTTGGTGAACAACTACAGATGTTGGTGTTAGGTTATCGAATACATTTTATGACGATAGCATGCCTAAAGTAATCAAGAATTTAAT